TCCGCTGGCTCATCTTGGATGTGTATAGGGAAATTCACGTACATACACTTGTTGATACAATCTGAAAGCTCGACGTCTGGCTCGATGAAGGCGATTGAACTGGGTTTCCATTTGTGTATTTCTGCAGGCCTACTTTACATGATTCAGCCGAAATGAGTCCAGGACAGTTTTGGATTTCCGGCCAAACATAATTTGCAATGAGGATAACTGATTCGGAGCGGAAGGATTTAGCGTCACACGATAAAGCAGCAAAAATCGATCCAAGATTTCTTCGGTTGTTTCCTCCCCCTTCGCTTTTATGCAGGCACGTCCAATAGTGTCAACGAATCGTTCATGTTTTCCATTAAATTGCGGGTGATGTCATGGGGCACGAATATGTTAGATGCCAGAATGATTGCAGAAATCTGAGAACAGAGATGGGGTGAACTGCGACCTATTATTGGACACCATATTATCAGACATACCAATACGACAGAACAAATGATGTTGGTGGGACACTGTGGCATTCGATGTTGCAGAATGCATAGGAAACATCTCTGACCATTTGGAAAATGCTTCAACACATATTAAGAAGTGCATACCATTAAACGGTCCAGCAAAATCGACATGAGCACGGGACCATGCTTTGCTGGGCAGCGGACAAGAAGATAGTTCTGTCTTGCGTGGGCATTTTGATGCTAGGGTACATTTACTGCATATACGGACAAGGTCTTCGACTTGGTGATAAATGTTGGGCCAGTAAACATAACTGCGAGCGATCGCCTTCATTCCATCAATGCCAGGATGTGATGTACGGAGTTGACGAAGCACATGATTGCAAAGATTAGCTGGAACCACAACATGATCAGCAAACATTACACAATCGTTAACAATGGATAAAGATGGGCGTCGTTGATAAAAACTTCCTTAGAGAATTGATATAAAGATGTGGGGGCTAGCCACATCGCATGAATTTCGACATCTCTCGCAAAACTGGATTACGCAGCGTGTGGTTAGCAACCTGAACCACAGTGTCTGAATTCGGCAAGCTAGATACATTATCACAGTTTCTAAGTAATCAGAAGTTGGAAAACGAACATGTTGTCATTGCATCCCTCTCTATTTAAGTCGATGTAAGCAGAATTTTAGTAGACGCAGCCCAGCTTCTTCAGGTGAAGAGAACTTTCTACTCTTCTCACCTGTTCCTATCCTTCAGTAGCTATCCAATGTTTACCCAGAAACTCAAAGATGTCTTAACTAACCTTAGCTTTTCTTCATGCATATACCATTTCAACTGTTCCTGTGGTTCAAGTTATATAGGGTGCACAATTAGGCAGGTTCGTCTACGGGTTTGAGAATATTTACCAGCTTGGTTCAGCAGGGGGGAAATTAAGTGCATAAAAAGCTCGATCCTGTCACATTTGGTTGATGACTAATCACCACCATTGTCTCCCATTTTACAATATTTTGTAATCGATTTCAGCGTAGTATGTTTGTCACACAAATACGATTATTTATTTTGACACCCCATAACTAATCTGTTTTTCTACGTTAAAAAACATGTATCCACCGCATAACTCGCCATTATTGTAACGACAACAAATATTATTTAAAACAATTAGTTCTCTTTATAAATTTAGACAAAACAATAAGAAGACGTAATTTGTCTGAATCGTGCGTGTAATGTATTTGCGCAACACATTTCGAACAATCTAATCACACACACACAGACTTGTCATAGGAATATATATGAAATCAATAAGGAGTTAAGATGCGAGAAAATAGACTAAGGTCAAATTAAAAGGAGGACATATTGAAGGTGAATATAACAATGAAGATCACTAAACCAAATAACAGAGGTAATAGTACATCTGCTATAGTATCAACACAAACTTAATCAAGGGAGGTTTAGTGTGATGACGAATCGTTTTGAACGCATAAAGGTGATTTAAACTTTCTAATTGCCAGCTAGGGCTTCCACAAACTTTGGGATACGCCAGTAACACGTTTTATAGATAGGTTTAAAAGATGTGTAAACGTCAATATTATGTCCTATCTCCATAATATGTTTCGCAATAGTGGAGCTAGGTCTCCTGTCCTCGCCATTAATGGGTTCTGATGATTCTATTTGTTTATGGATCCATTTATGAATACGTTTTGTCAAGTAATCTGATCTATCGTTTCAAGGTCAGTCGATATGTTGCTGTTATCTTTCTCAAGATCCGAACCTGACTCATTTGCTGGAACTCACAGACATACAGAACAAACTATCTTACAAATATATTTGTTTTGTCAGCAAACGAACTAGCCATTGACTGGCAGGCAGTCTAGCTACCAATTGGACTAAATCTACCAGTGTAGAAGTCTAACGATCCATGTGAATGACTCTGAAGAGTGCTCAGTCAGTTAGTTTAAGCAAATAATGCAGCTATAGTGGAGAAATCGAGTTTGTCATCAATAACTTCTGCTGTTCAAGATCTGGGAAAATACATCTGATCCGTGAAGAACGCCTAAAACTTGACTTCGAACTCCAGCATCCTGCACCATAGGTTTTTGATGAATACCGGCAATCTTAACAAAAACTAGAAGTAATTCTTGCAATATTTTAAAGAAAAGTGTCCCCTTTCTTCTTCAAACCTAATTTTCATGAATACACTGTCCTTTCATCCTAATTAGTTTGCTTTACTCTGACTGGAAACGTACACGTCCCCTCGGATCACCATTCTCTATCTCTTCCTAGTTCAACATTATTCAGCAGTCTGTTCTGTGTAAAGAACATGAGTTTCACACTAATCGAAAAACACCTCCGATGCCTTTCCTTCACAGTCACGCGTAGATGTGGAAGTCATAGATAGAAACGGTACCTCAAGTTACAGTCCCATGAATTATGGATGGATATAAGAGAAATCATGCAATTTCTCTCGGTGGCACAGCGGTTAGAACACGCCAACCACCCACATGGTCCATAGTTCGATACCCTGCCGACGCACACCTGATATCAATTGGTCAGCCTGCAAAATTTGGGCTACCGAAATAAAATGCTGAAAATTCCATACTTGTGCCAAAAATACGGTGTGGAATCAAGTTATAAACAAAAATATTTTTTAAAATATGCAACGAACACTTAGTGAATACGCCAAAGGCACTAACATTATCTCACCACCGAAACTTTTCTGCCGATCTCGACATTATAAAGCTTTAAAACTAAAATTCCTGATAACAGTGGTCTTTGCTAAATTAACTCTCCCTTCTCTTCACGTTCGATTTCCATAATGTATATACCCTTTCATCAAGTTGGGGATGATGGATAACAGTGGAATCCACCAGTCACGTTTTATTCTGGTAAAGGCACGTCAGTCGAATGCCCCAAGACACCAAGCAAACACCTACCGTTTCAAATCCCCCTCTCATAATAAATACATCGTATGTTTATTTAAACTCAGATTATCTACCCTTTTAATTGTTTTAACAGCTGAACGAACTGCTAGTCTACGCATAACTGAAGGGCGCATGTCAGTTACACAACGAAACAATAAACTACACAAATACACACACACAAACCAGAACAAAACACTATGACAAGGACTAATTCATTCAACATATTTTCGCTTCTAAATAACACAATTTACACATATGCACACTTTAAGTTCATTTACTGAATAAATATGACTTAATCAATACCAAATATACACTTCAACACATAGAAATATCGATCATTTTGTATGTGTGTGTGTGTGTCTGTGTGCTGATTTGCATACCTAACAGATGTGAATAATTAATAGCGAGAGAGAGAGAGACAGAAATAGAAGAAAGTGATTCAGATTCAAATGATGAGTAGTAATCAGATTATAGTACACCACGGCTTCATTTTATGCCATAATAATCAAACAAAATTTATTAGTTCTAGTTCTAACACAAATCACACTAAGAACATTCCCCCAAGCATTACAACTAGATTATCAACATATGTCATCACCTTCACAGAGTACAAGTTGTGTGACGTATAACCTACATTTTTTTCATATTATTATCGACCGCACGTTCTCAAAACCAATTAAGCTCTAGATAAAGTCAAACCACTCACTATGGACTGACGCATCTATCTTAGATGTTATCGTTATGTGACGAATTCATTGCAACAGAAGCAACATAATAATCCTGTGACGCCTACTCAAGTTAGTTTCACGAAACATCGCGTAAAAATTACTATCTCGTAAGACAGATTTCCTCTTCTTTAAAATTCAGCAGCAGCAGCTAGATTTATCTGTAATATTCCAGTTCATGCATGTTACCACTTCAGAAACTCAAGAGTGCAGCTCAACTAATTCTCAAGTCTCAGAACAAATGTACTATTCAACCGCTCTCTCTCTCTCTCTTCACATCGAATCAAGTGAAGAAAGCAGTATACACACAGAATAGCCTGAATTTACCAATCATTAGTTGACGACAGCAACAAAGACTATTCACTGAGACTACGTCTTTGATAAATCAGATTATCGAAACATCAACCATAAATCTCCACCTCTCCAATTAATTTTCCCTCGTACTGCAGTTACTCACTCTCAAGTCCATGTCACAGCATACACACCACCATTCACCACAAACAGGGAACATGATCCGAATTTTTAACAGTAATGACAAGTCAGTAGTAGTAGTAGTAGTCCTTCAACATGCTTCAGAGACTTCGAGGACACGTCACAAAAACCATTTCCAAAGGATACCACAGACTTTCATCACCACTTCCCTTCACTACTCAATTAATCTCACATGGCCGGCCAGGACAAGGAACCTGCAACCCAACAAATACCCCGAGGACATGAATTGAACCTACGCTGATACAAGAAATCAGGTCGTCAAGTATAACCCGTATACGAAGCCAAGAGCTGGACAACCTAAGGTGAAATGGGGGAGGAGAGGATCAAATTACAGTTGGAAACGAAAGTCAGCAGACATTCATGCAGCCAGTCGAAAGTCTTGGCAGATAACAACCTACTGCAACGCAGAAGTGTCCTGATGCAAGGAATAAATTATATAAAAATAACATTGAAAATGTCATATAAGAAGTTTTCTTTCATTTTAGAAGCAAAAAACAATGAGTGGAATACAATTTTCTGATTATATTAGTGGAATGTTGGGTTGTTATCGCTGTTCAGGATTCATTACCTTTACCTTCCTCTTCCTCCTCTTCTTGTCCATGCATTATCATTCGTGTAAATTCTTTATAGTCGAAATTTCCATCATGTATTGGTGCACCATGAAACAATTCATCAACTTTTTCATTCGACCATCGATCACCCATTGTTGTCATTAATTCACGTAATCGATTCTCACTTATCACGCCTAAAAGAAGAAAATAAACAAACAGGTTCATCATTTGATGAAAGTGAGTGCCCAAGTCACTGTATTTACTCAAATCTAGTTGACAATCAACTGTATGTATTATTTATTGTGTGTGTGACGCTTACTCACTCAGCTCAGTAGGATGTGCTGAGTTCGAATCATTCGACTCAAGTGATTGGAAGTTGTCAGCACACAAACTACAATGACACTCAAGAAAGCTCAATGAAAATGTGTGAATATTCTGATGATATAAGCGAGAATGCATGTTTAATTCACAGTATTAGGTGGTGGCACAATGACTCGTTTAGCCACTTGACTGATTAGATCTTGTTAAAACAATTGGTGTCAAGCACGATATGATAATGACTCCTTGGACTCCCAAGGTCGTTGACTAACTGATCTAGACACACCTGATCAAGCATAAGTCTGAACATCGTTCTAACTACCAAAGTTAACACAGCCAAGAAGTATCATGAATCGCAAAATCTTTAATCACCGTTACACAAAAATCTTCAAAGACTTGTGTGACTAAGTAACTGCTAATCACACAAAAACTCACCTGTCCCTTCAGGATCGAAACAAGCAAACGCGTTCAATATCGTCTCCTCCGGATCACATCCCATCATCTTTTCACCAAATAATGTTAAGAACATTGTGAAGTTAATCTGACCAGGTGCCTGAGAAAGCATGTCATTCAAATAATCATCGTTTGGTGATTTCCCCAATGAAATGAAAATATCCTCCAGGTCATGCTTGTCGATCACGCCATCTTTGGTGGAATCAATCATTAGGAATGCTTCCTGTTTTCACAAAGTAAACACAAAAGACAGATTCATTATTCTAAAATAATACTGACAGACTTAGACAGGTTCACTGATTAATAATAATAACAGTATTCACAACTTACACATATTAAAATATCTAGAACACACGTGGTTAGAATTATAACGCACTCTCTGCAGTAAACTTAACAAATGAACAATGCGTATCCGAATGAATCACTTGATCAACCGGGAGATGTAAGTTGACGACAGTGTGCAAGTTCATGTGTTAGAAAGCACGGTGAATTGCATAATGGCTGGTCTGAGGTTGGAGACTGTCGCCCTGTTAGAACTCACTTAACAACACCAGAATTTGTATAGCCCACCCCCATGTATGAAGGCTGATGATGATGCTATCCAGTCAAACAGTCTGAAGTAGCCGGACAAGGATTAAAACTCAAGATTCGCTAACTGAAAGTCAATCGTTACAGTCAATCAGACCGCGGCTGACAAGTCGAACATTTATACTTATGGAGCCTGTCCCACATCATTTACCATCTATCGTTGTACTTAACAAAAAGAAAAAAACTACAATTTAGCGAAATACTTTACAATACACTAAATGAAGATCGACAGGCAACTGTATAGAAAGTAACGAGATATACAAAAACTTGTGCAACACATGTGCCACTGAAACTGATTTCTCAGTTGTCAATGTCTCTATACAAAATAATTGGCTTCACCATAATGGTTGTAGGTAACGGTGTGTGTATCAATGATTTCACATAAGACACAATGAATACATATCACTAATTCCAACACGGTTATACGGATAAGATAAAACCACCAAAACAAAAAAAGAGCACAGTGCATCGGAATAATGACTAGAAGCTTTGTAGGCGAGATTTCACATGTGAATCACCGGTAACAGTCAAACCTTTTATGGCTTGTCATGCTCTACGGATACGGAGTAGCAGTAATTAGTAGAATTACGGATAATGAAAATGAGTTATGAACTACAGTAGAAATAATAGGCGAAGCATACTAGCCACAGGTTCAAAGCAGTTTTTAGTGATTCCATTAATTCCAGACTGGGAAAGGTGTTTCATCCAAATACTTACTGCCTCTCACATCCCAGTATACATGCACACAAAAAGTAAACTTGACTCTACTCACAATGATTTCTTCATTATAATGTAGGTCATATAGGGATCTGTCACACGAAAATACGTTCGTCTGATACAGATTTTAATCCAGTTGAATTTTCACCCGAGTTATCTGGTTAAATAAGTGCATTGTACGTGGCGGTCTCACTGAGGAAAATAGCGAAGAAGTGAACACTAGCAAAACAGAACCTAATCTAAAGGGATAACAGTATGCTACTATATTTCGCCAAACAAAAACAGAGAAAAAAAGACTTAAAATAACAATAACAGTGGTTTAATATGCGACAGGAAAGAAAGAGCGAACTCTCTAAGCTGTATGTGCAGTCATACCATTTAGTTTCATATCAGTAGCTTTAGTCACCACAAAATGTCACAAAACGAATATTCACAGAGGATTATACTTCGCTTATTGACGAGTATGTACGAAGTAAAATGAAAACTATGATGCTTTTCTTTCTAAGTTCATTTTAACTCAAACTACAGGTAGAAATAAGTGCTAAGTTAGATAAACTGTTTGCTATGGCAACCGAATAATTGAAGACATGTCTACTGAATTGTGAAGTCCCAGGAGCGACGCCGTCAAAAGTGAAAGTGTGAACATACTGTCATTAACCTACTGCCTATTACATACCAGTGCGTATCACGAAAGCTTCCTGAGGTGTGGGCGAAACTCCATTCTTCACAAATGACGCTAGCTAGTAATAAATTCCTCCCAGGTACGAATCACCCGTTGATTGAAATCGTCACGATGAAGAACGGCCACAAAATCTAGTGGGTCTAAATTAATTTCAGGGTTAAAACTTAAACAATAACTTACCTGTCTATCATAGAGTACAATTGTTTCAAACACTTTAGGATACCAACAATTCGTACGCGACCTACACGCAAAGATCTGCTCGCGTCGACCTTACGTGACTACTTTTCAAAGCACCGTTTTCAAATGGATGAAATCAGGCTGAAAGCGGGGCCATCATACAAATGAAAGGCACACCATGGAGCGAGGTAACCTTGAAACAGGTTGGGAGTTGTCGTGCGATACAAGATATACATGCATCACTAACCGATAGTTTAGAATATTAGTTTTCGACTTCTTATAGAACTTTATCCCAATAACATATTATATTAATGTGCTCACATGTTGAGTGAGTTTCACAAGCCAATTCGAAGAAATCGTTAAAACTGTAGACATAAACTGGAAGAAGCTACAATAGTCTATTATTCTTTATCATCCAATTTCAAAATAAAAACTAAGGTATTAAGATGGCACCATATCAGAAACAGAGTAATAAAAATGAGATGTGTCACTCTTTTTAAACAGTCTGAAATAACCTCATTCTGATGTATTCTGGAGTAATCGTTTTCCTACCCAATTATCCTACGCAATTACCCTTGAGGGTCCCGAAATCTCTTCTCTAATTGCAGTTAAAACAATATCGGCTACTCTTGAGAGAAACAAAGTATTGTATACAATACACTAGTATATAAACTGCCGGTGTTTAAAAGCGTAAACTTACCTTGAATTCGCTGATTTGAGCTTCATTGAACATAGAGAAGACATTGGAAGTGAATCGCTGAGTGCGATTACGAGCACGACGTTTAGTCTTTGTACAGGCCATCTCAATTATTCAAACTACCGCTCTCTGAAAGCAACTGAGTATACCGCTGCAACTCTTTTTCAATCTTCAGTATCTATGTGGATATGTTCTTTGTATTTCATAAGTGCACTTCCTGATACACTACTGGTTTAGTCTGCAAGGATATAAGCACACTTCATAGATTCCAAATGTTTACAAGTGAATGTAACTTTATGACCAGCTGGTATGGAACTATCAATTAATTGACGCCCATCTCTCGATGTTTAAGAACAGTTCTGGATTGAGGTCTACCTGGGAGCAGGGAATATTGTAAGGAGTTGAACTGTGTAAACTGACTTCGAAGAATCCGGTCCGGGAGTAATTACTCTTGGTTCACGAATTGTCTGCCGAATAACTTGTTATTATTGTTCTCTTGGGTTCCTAGTGGAACATAGGACTTCGACTGCACGTCTCCACTTGCTTCTGTCTTGTGCTGTGCTTTTCGCTTGCATCCATGATAGTCCATACTGTTTCAGTTCCTCATCACACGATCTCCTCCATGTCACCCTTGGACGTCCCACTCGCCGCTTCCCTTTCGGGTTCCACTCGAGCACTGGCCTGACGCGCGATGTCACCCAACGGCCTCCTCAGCGAGTGTCCAATCCATCTTCACTTCCTCCTGCATATTTGTTGGGCGATTGGTTCCTGTTTTGTTTGTTCCCATAGTTTATTGCTGGTGATTCTTTCCGGCCATCTGATCTTCAGTATAGAACGAAGACAGTTGTTGATAAAGGTCTGCAACCTGTTGAAAATATTCTTGGTGACACACTGGCCAAGTTTCTGATCCGTATAGCAAAACTGACTTGACGTTTGTATTGAAAATCCGAATTTTGTTGTTGATGCAGGCTGAGTGACGAAGATTTCCAGATTGGTTTCAGGTTGATGAATGTGTTTCTCGCCTTTCCGATTCTCGATTTGAGATCTTCGTCCGTTCCTCGTGTAGTTGAGACAATGCTCCCTAGATAAGTGAAAGAAGTAACCTCTTTCAAATCCCTCCCGTTGATGATGATTGGCGCTGGATGTTGCTGTTGTTGTTGTTGTTGGTTGGTTATTTTCATGACCTCCGTCTTGTCTATGTTCACCTGGAGTCGTGTCTTTGCTGCTTCTTCGACCAGTTTGTCGGTTTTCGCTTGTAAGTCTTCGATTTTGTGTGACATCAAACATAAATCATCCACGCGCGAAATCCAGGTCTTCTAGGTTCTTCACGTCAGTCCAGGATACCCCTGTCTTCTCGTTTCCCACTGTCTGACGCATAATCCAGTCCACCACAATTAGGAATATCATTGGTGATAATAAGCATCCTTGTCTGACTCCTGTGTTTACTCCAAACGCTTCGCTGAGTTTTCCGTTGTGGATCACTTGACATGTGCCGTTGTCGTACAGTTGTTGAATAAGGTTGATGAATATTTGGGGTACGCCGTAGTACTCGAGTAGTTTCCAAATTACTTCGCGGTCAACGCTGTCGAAGGCCTTCTCAAAGTCTATGAAGTTGAGGTAGAGATTTGATTGCCATTCCATGCTTTGTTCGATGATAATGCGTAGAGTTGCAATTTGGTCAGAACATGATTTGCCTTTCCTGAATCCAGCTTGTTCTGGTCGGAGTTCTGTATCCAGTGCGTCCTTGATTCTCTCCAGGATGATGCGACTCAGGATTTTACTTGGCGTCGATAGGAGCATGATTCCTCGCCAGTTCTTGCAGAGTCCTAGGTCGCCCTTCTTTGGTAGTTTCACTAGGTAACCTTTCCTCCAGTCAGTAGGCACCTTTCCCTCTTTCCAGATCTTTTGCAATAATGGAGTCAGCATTTCTGCTGTCGTTTCTGGGTCCGCTTTCAGTGCTTCCGGGGGTATTCCATCTGGTCCAGCTGCTTTTCCAGCTTTCAGAAGCTTGATTGCATTCATGACTTCACTTTTCGTTGGAGGATTGGTGTCAACTTGCAGTTGTGTACGTGCTGTTGTTGGTATTTCTGGACGGGTTGCAGGTGGTGGTCTGTTCAAGAGTCCTTTGAAGTGGTCCGCCCATTGTTTGATCTGTCTTTCTTCTTTGGTAATTGGGTTCCCTTGGCTGTCTTTTATAGGTTTCACTTGTGTTGATCTCTTCCAGGATAGAGACTTGGTTATCTGATATAGTGTCCTCAGGTCCCTTTTGCCTGCTGCCTTCTCAGCTTCAGTAGCCAGGTTGTCGTAGAATTGTCTTTTGTCCTCCCTGGCACTCTTCTTCACTTCTTTGTCCAGTGCTGGGTAAGTTGAGCTCAGCTTCTCTTTCTCTTGTCCATCTTTGCATTGAATCATTTTCTCTTTCACCATTCTCCTCTCCTCTATTAGCTTCCAAGTGTCCGTTGAGAGCCATTCCTTGTCTTGTTTCTTCTTTCTTCCTAAAACCGTTGAACACGTTTCGTTGAAAATTACCTTCAGAGAGTTCCAATGGTCTTCCACGGATGATTCCTCAGTGGTGCCACGTAGTGTCTCCTGCTTTGCTCTGACCGTTGCAGTGAAATTATCCTGTGTGATTGTGTCCTTCAGATTTTGCGTGTTGAACTTGCATTGTGGCCTATCCCCAGGTATCCTCGAGGCTTTCAGCTTCACCTTGAAAGTCCCTTGTACTAGATAGTGGTCTGAACCGACATCTGCTCCTCTCCTCGATCTTGTGTCCAGTAGGCTCCGTCTCCACTTCCTTGAGATTGAAATGAAGTCTATCTGGTTTTTGGTGTGTCCATCTGGTGAAATCCATGTTGCCTTGTGTATATCCCTGTGTTTGAACACACTGCCACCAATCACCAAATCATTGAAGGCGCAGAAGTCCGAGAAGAGTTCACCATTTTCGTTCATTTCACCGAGGGCCTCACGACCCATGGTGAGTTCTCTTCCTGTATTGTCCCCTCCCAGCTTCGCATTCATATCACCCATCAGGATTTTGATATCGCTCTTTGGGACGTTGTCCATTACTGTTTGTAGTTGACTGTAGAAATCCTTCTTCTCTTGTTCTGAGACGTTTGTAGGCGCGTAGCATTGAATGATTGTAAACTTTTTCCCTTTTGAGCTGGACGTGGCTGTCATTATCCTGGAGGAGATTGGTTCCCACTGCATGAGAGCTTTAGTCGCTGTTGGTGACATCATGATAGCTACTCCCTCGGTGTGCTCGTGGTCGTCATCTGAGTGACCGGAGTAGATTATTGTCTCTCCAGTTGGTAGTTGGCTCCTTCCACATCCGTTCCATCTGCTCTCGCAGATTCCCAACACTTCTATTTTATATCTCCCCATTTCCGCGGCTACCTGAGCAGCCTTTCCAGTTTCGTACACTGCACGAATATTCCACGTCCCCATCCTTATTTTCGCTTTCACTGAAAGAAGGCACATCGGCTGACTGGCTTCCCGAAGGCTTTCACCAGCCTGCGACATTTCACTTCCCCGATTCCAGCGAAAAATAAGGTTATTGTTTGCATTTATAGAATTTTGAATATACTTGTGCGTTGAAGTTTTAGTAGCAATTTGGTTAAGTTTTGGGGGTGGAGTTGCTAGCACCACGCCCCAACCCTCCCTCTTTATCCGAGCTTGGGACCGGCTAGAATACTAGTGACCTAGTAATCTAGACGAGGTTCGAATAACTCGTACTCTCAAGTATTTCCCTACGCTGATGATGTAGAGTTGTGAAAGGTCATGAAAATTCAGGAATACTCGCTCAGGTTGAAGAAAGACCTAACCAACCCGGAGAATTGAGTCTCAACTAACGGTCTGACATTCCACGTACATAAATGCTTGGCCATATTCACCCAAACATCAGTAGCACAAGTGCGGTGAGAGCTGTCTGCAAGACAAAATTGTAGACAACGAATGACGTCAATTTTAACGTCCCAAATCGGGGTAATGGGAAAAGACAAGAAGAAAACCTAGCCTTGAAGAACTCAACAACCAATCACAGCAGACTTAGCATGGGCGGACACGACTCGCAGATACATCACCGGACTGTCTAGGAAATGGCAACGAAGAGATGACAGAATAACCTTCAGTAGGAAAACAACCAATCAGAAGACGTTGCTTCTCTGTTGATAATAACGAATAATAATTTACATAAAAAACCTATAAATATCCGTTGATTTTCTCAATAAACGATCTGTCACCTGGCCCTAGTCTTCTGTCGTTACACAAGGAGTTCCCAATCGCTTATGTGGGGCCAATCTCTTGCTTATGATGATGGGGCGGTACTCCTGCTGGAAGGATTGGATTCAAGGATCAACTGTATTGTAGGCACGGACGAGCCACAACAGTCATCCAACTTATCTACAGGTGGCCAAGTACAATTAAACCTGGGATATCTATGCAAATGTACAAGGTAAATGTCAGTGCCTAGAAATCTATAGTGTTACTACGACACTACTTCTGGGGAGAGACACAGACCTGAGGCCCAAAGAATAACATCTTGGACTGAGATATCAATCTTACGTTGATTCTTTCCGAAAGCTGGACCCAGATGGTCCCGGTCGTAGCAAACTGTTTGGCGACGACCTACAGAATAATGCACAACACAAATCACCTCAGTGGAGACATTATCAGATGAGTAATTTGGTCCTCCACGGAATAATACGAACAGAGTCAGCCGTCAGATTGCTCAATTTCTCCAGTAGATCTTATTCTTTATGAAAACTCCTGCCAGATAATAGGGTCAACCCTTTGTCAGTTGGTCGATCCGAGAGGAGGTAAAAGGACCTCGAAGGGGTGAACGCTCAAAGCACACGCACCATGAGAACAGTCCAATTACGCGCAACAGTATTGGTAATACAAATGTTTAATTAAATGCTTATTCTTCCTTTTCGACGCTTTACCTCCATATGATTCCTTGCTGTTTATTTTTGTTATTTATTCCATACTTGACTTTGATGCGCTTTTCGGTGAATACTCTATATTCACGTAGCTAAGATAAAACTCTAATTTCTGCAGAATTTCTTGGCAAGAAGTAGCAAAATTATTGTAATTATTTGCTTCCCAAGCACTGAAGATGTGGATATAATCTTGTTGACTGATAATTCCTATAATTATCTGCTTGACATATTTTGTCTGTCTAACACTAACTTATATCTATAATTGTATATATTGATGGATTTACATGTTCAAGTTTGCTGAAGTCATTGAGTCTATGATTTTGGTATCGCTTTTGTTAACTGTATCTGACTGTGATACTACTGCTACGGTTTTGTTTTTTTACTGTTGCTGTCGTTTGTTACCCTTCCTATTGTGAATTGTTTTCCTGTGCTGGTGTTGTTCTGATTGTTTTATTCCTTGTTTTCCTGGTCGCTTCTCTGTAAACTGTATTTTAATGTAACAATCCCCTTCTCAGCCGTGAGG